TCTTGATGTCTTTCTGTGTCAGGACTGGAGAACTGTGTAGAGAGAGAGCTTAGGAGCCTATGAGGGCCTCTTCTCTGAGGTGGGATCCTCTTTCAGCCATCAGCAGAGAAGAAAATTCCAGTTTGGTGTGAGAGTCCTAGAAGTCTCCAGGCTCCCCCTTGCAGGCCTCCCTCTCCTCCCAGCAGTTCTGACTTCCTCGTGTCTGTCCTTCTGTCTTACTTACCGAGAGGCCAGCACCCCCTCACTTTCTTGCACAGGCCTAGGGCTGGGGAAAGTGGGGGTGGGAGGTGTAGGGGAGGGTGGGAGGCACACTGACACCTAGGAAAGCTGCGGACAGCAAGGATGGACAGAAGGAGGGATTCGGAACCCGCCTCAAGGGATGGAAGAAAAGAAGCCTCCAGTCTACTCAGAGGCCAAAGAGAGAGGGCGGTCCGTGGTCTGTGATGGACAGGAGCCGTTGGTTCCTCACATTATGAACTGAGGCTGGGAGACCAGTTGAGGGCTCTGCACCATTGTTATACTTCCTGTCCACGTACACTTAGGAGACAGAGTCCGCCTGTGGGACCAGCTTGTGGAACAGGCGTTTCTATGGGAAACTTTTGTTTAAAATGATAAAATTGGCTCTGTGGCCTGGTGGTTAAGGGATCTGTATCCTACATGGCTGACTGTGGTTCAAATCCTGGCCCAGTGGGTTAAAAAACATGCTGGATGTGTGTGTGTACATACTCACAACCTGACTGAGTGGGGAAATGAGGAGAAGAGACCATGCCTCTTTGGGGATACTTCCTCCCTCCTTGTCTCTGTCTCTCTCTTTCTCTGTCTCTCTCTGTTTCTGTCTCACTCTGGTGAATGCACATGCCCTCTTTCAATAAGAAAGGAAAAGAAATCAATAAAATGACAAAATGTAATAGTTTCAAGAAAGCAAACCAATTGAGACTGCTCTAGTTTCCTCACTAGTTCTTTTCTGTTAGAATTCTTAATTCTTTCCCTCAGAAGTCAGAGCAGGTATTGGGAGGGGTGAAGATGATGAAAGGACATGCAGGTTGTTAGGGAGGTTGGGGTTGGCCTGCAAAGTATTTTTCATAGATCAACTTCTTTCTTTCTTTGTATTTTGTTTTTGCTATAGGGTGAGTACTCTCACCAGAGAGAGATTAGAGAGGAGTGAGTGCGATCTCTTCTCCTGTCTCCTCTCTAGATTGTGGGCATGCACGCACACATGCCTGGCATGTTTTTCAAGCTACCAGGTCTGAGATTGGAACCATGAGGTCAGCCATGTGGTCCAGTACCTTAATGTCCACCCCACCTGCTGTCCCATGTAGATCAACTTTTGTATATGACCTTCCCTGTTTTTTATCATGGAGCTGGAACTGTGAGGGAAAATACTTTGAAGCTACAATTCAGTGTATTTCTTACTTTCTTCATCTCTTCATAGAGAAGATAGAGAATGGGATAACTGTCTTTCTCTCCCACCAGCCTTTCACGTGGTCGTACCAGGACCCCCACATCACTGAAACGAAGACACATGTGCATTTGGTCAGGACAAGCCAAGAGTAAGAGAAAACAGACTGGGGTACAAAGGGAAGGTGTGTTTGGGGCTGCTCTAGAGCAGGAGAGCTTCCTTTTCATGCCTCCTGTCTCCATTTTCAGCATAACTTTTATTCTCTTTGGAAGCTGGAAGGACGACTGCCTTCCAGAGTTGGGTTTGAACTCCAGCCCTGACACCCAGACTCGGGGCAAGTTACTCATCTTCTCTGAGCTTCCCTTTGTTTTTTTCAAATCCTCATATCTGAAAGAGGGTTCATAAGAGGACCTACCCCATGAGGTGATGCTGGAAGGTATTAATTCACTCTATAAGTCCTACTGCATGCTCAGCACTGCGCGAGGTGTGTGGGAAGAGCAGGGACCAGACTGGCATTCTCAAAGTGTGTCTCATAAAAAACAGCCTGCACTAATCAGAATATTAGTCAATTAAAATAGTGCAAATTAAATGCCAATCAAAGCCATCGCAGTTTCACAGTTTTACTGGTGCATTGTTACTAATGGAGAGGGCTGCTTCATCACATTTATTCATCATTATTTAGAAGAATAAGATTTAAATACAAGAGAGTTGTAGATGGCAATCATTTCTCCATAGGGCAATATCAGTAATTAGTAAAAAGGGTTTCAGATATAAATTTGAACTCAAATAGTCAAGTAGCTTGTTGCAAACATTTCAGTTTTAATCAGGCAAGGCTGTCAGCTCATCTTCAAAATACAAACCAATTATAGTTGTGCCTCCCAAAAGGTAAAACCTTGAAAAGTTTTAGTTATAGATTATCTTTTTGTATTTTTGAAAACAATTTTTTCCCCTAAGGGTATGCATGCTCACTGCAGAAAGAGAGACAGAAGCAGAAAGAGGGAAGTGAGAAATCACCCCTCAGAAGGAATGGCCACACTGCAATCCATTCTCTTCCATTCTCCTCTTGGGCTCAGAGTGACTTTCAAGCCTCTAGGTCTGGGATTCAAATCATAGTTGGCCCTATGGGAGTCCAGTGCCTTAACTACTATGCCACCTGCTGGTCCCTTGAAAAGTATTTTTTATTATGAGGAAAATGTTCAGATATACAAGAGAAGAGGGAATAATATAGAGAACCTCCATATACCATCGGCTTCAAAAGTCCGATCAATTCTTTAGAACAGTTGATAGATTAAAAGCTCCAGCAGTATTTGAGTCTTAGGAAAAAGTCCCTAAACTCACAGTGACTGTTTTGACCCTGGGAGCGTAATCGCAACGTCATACATTCTGCACATGAGAGTTGGGGATCCCCGTGCCTTGGGCACCAGCACATCGCCAACTCAAATGAGGGGCACGGTTGGGAAGCGTGTCACACACCATCCCTGTCCTTCTCTCTAGCCAGATACGGGGGCCTCAGGGAGCCTTTAATGTGGGAGGCAAGCACACAGGATTTAACCTTGACTGGACTCGCCTGTGTTCAAATTCTAGCCCCTACCCTTACTATCAGGGTAATTGTGGGCAAGTTACTCCAACCCACTGAGCCTCCGTTTCATCCACTCTAAGGATAGATCTTTCCACCAAGCTTAGAGAATTGCTCTAGAGATTAGAGTGAATGCAGGTGAACCTCCGCTTAGGTTAGAGTTAGAACCCTCCTCTCATTGTTGCCCTTTCTCCATAAAACTGTGTTGACTCCGTTTGGAGGATGCATTGCAGTCAGAAGCAAACCCACTGACCCCCCAATGACAGGTAGCCAGGTCTTGCCTCCTCTCTCAGGACATCCCCTCTAGCTCTTCCCTCAGAGACAGTCTGAGTTTCCTTGGGGTGAATTTTATTTCAGAGAAAGAGAGTTTTATGGGGAAAGTTCACCCCCTACAGACATAGGTGAAGACTGGCTCCCCCTGGGGCTCACCTTTGCCTTCCAGGAATTTTTCAAAGTATTCCTCCCAGCTTCCTGGGTTGGGAAGTCCTTTGTTCATCCTTTGGAAATGGTAGTAGGACACCATGTTGTCCTTGGGATTCCTTGCTACGTAGATGATCTGTTGAGTGAGAAGAAACAGCAGAGATGCCGTAAGTGGTAAAAAGTGTTAGAAATTAGGCCCTCAGTGTGCCTTGCATGGGCAGTAACAGTAGCCACGTTCAAATGGTCATGGATAAATCATCATCCAGCAGCCAGTAGGACCGTGTGAAAAAGCAGATCAGGGCAGGTTGCTGCCTTGAGCAAAACCTTCCAGTGTGTGTACATTGCTCTTAGGATTAAGTTTTAAATTCTAGGCTTGGCATGTGGGATCCACCCCTCCTATTTTCCTGGCTCACTTCCTGTTGGGTACACCTCCCTTACCTCCTCTCTGCAAAGCACGTTTTGGGTGGCTGTCCTGTAATATTTCTGTCCATCACTTTTTGAGTGTGCCGTGTCCTGCCTTTCCTCTCTTAAATCAGTGGGTCTGAAACTGAACATCGAGAGAGCCATGCCTGTCCCTAACATTGTATGCAGAATTTTGTGTAGAGGAGCACTTTGTCACATGTGTATATATGACTTTCTTCAGATTCTCAGAGGCATTTGTGATTACTGAGAGTGTGGATATTTTATTTTTTTGAAGAGGTTTTTGCTCTAAGGGCATGTGTGCTTGCCAGAAAGACACAGAGAGACAGAGAGACAGAAAGAGAAAAATCACCC